AAGAACTCCAAAGGAAGATGAACATAGTCAACTAACCTGAACACTTGGGGCTCTCTGAGTCTGAATCACCAACCAATAAATACATCCAGCAAAACCTGGGTCTCTACACACACATGTATAGCAGATGAGCAGCTTGGTGTTCATGTGGGTCCTGAGCAACTGGAACAGGGGCTATCCCAAACTCTATTGCCTGTATATTGGATATGTTATCCCATGCTTGGCTTCACTTTGTCTGCTTGCTCTTGTTCTTGATAGCAAGTCCATTCTTTCACTGGCATTAGAACCTAATTATTCAGGAATCTGACATATACTAAAACCTGCTGAGACATCCAACTTCATAAGCTAAACAACAGCTGGCTTCTTGGGCATTCAGTTGGTACAGAGTCATTGTTGACTTTGCTGGACCACAGCCTGGAAAGCATTCTAATAATTCTCTGTTATGTGTACAAATAGATTTATATTATAGGTTCTGTTCATTTAGAGAACCCCGGCTAATACAGGTAGTATTATGTGACTCTATGTAACTATGTGACTCTATGTAATTATGTAACTATGTGACTCTAATACACTGATTCTCCACCTTCCTAATGCCATGACTCTTTAATATAGTTCCCCCTCTTGTGGTGACACCCAACTGGAAATTTCTTTTCATTGTTACTTCATAACGGTAGTTTTGCTATTGTTATGAATGGCAATGTAAATATGTGATATTTATGATGGTCTTATGCAATCACAACCCAATAGAGCCCACAGCACCAGCTGGACATAGGCCCCCAGCACATAATGTAGCAGATGTGCAGCTTAGTCTTCATGTGGGTCCTCCAAAAATTGGAGTATAGACTGTCCCTGAGCCTTTACTGTCTGCCTGCCTGCCTGCCTGACTAACTGTTTGACTGACTGACTGACTGACTGACTGTGAATCCTGAGTCCTTAAACCAATAGGGTTTTTTTGTTTTTTGTTTTTTGTTTTGTTTTTTTTTGCCACAGTGGAACAATGCACATTGTTCCAGACTGATTTAATGTGTGGTGGAGGGTTGGGGGGTTGCAGGTTAATAGGGTATAACACCCAGAGTGGGGCTTCCTTTTCTGAAAAGAGAAGGGGGAGGTGTAGGATGGGAGGGCTTGTGTGAGGTAGTACTGAAAGAAGAAGGAGGACTGATATTGGGTTATAAAGGTAATAAATAAATATTTAAAATTAATTAATTAACTAAAAACAATAGCCACAAAAAAATATAGTGTCTTGGGAAAGCTCTAACAAAGCAAGTGAAACACCTTAGTGATAAATACTAAGACATAGTGAAGAAAGAAATTGAAGATGATCTAAGAGGATGGAGAAATCTTTTATGCTCATGGATCATGAGGATTAAAATACTAAAAACAGCCATTTTATCAGAAACTATCTACAGATTCCATGACATCCCTATCAAAACTCCAACACAATCTTCAGAGAACTTGAAAAGATGATTAATTCATGGCACCATATGAAAATACACACAAAAATGCAGGATATTTAAAGTACTCCTGAATAATAAAAGAATTGTTGAAAGTATTGTTAAAGCTAAAGATGGAGGGAGAAAGGCCACTGACCAAATCATCACGGCCAATTTAATTAAAGCAATCATTAATTAAAGCAAGAATGGTTATTCATGTACACTAGTACCTCTCTCTGAATTGTGGTTTAAGTGGTCAGCATTCAATGTGAGGAAGGCATGGCTTTTATAGCTCAGCGATATGGTGTTTGAAAATGGGAGATTTCGTAGGACAATTAAGAGGACTTACAGGAAGAGAACATAAGCATAACAAGTTAGAAAATCCTGAAAGAAAGACAGGGTTGCAACTGGGCATATCAAGATAGTCATAGGTTGTAATGTCACCTTTTGAAATAAAGGTAGGGTTGTAAGATGGTTACAAGAAAAACTTTTTGAAAAAAAGCCATGAATACTATTCCTAGAATGCACAGTACAGAACTGTCTGTACTTCCAACATGGAGCATAGCCCAATCCTTGAAAAGCAAAAGTTGAATCATAAGCAAGAATCAACAAAAGATATGGATAAAACTTGAAGTCTGCATATAGAATGCAAATAGATCCATGGTTATCACACTCCACAAAACTCAACTCCAAAATGGAACAAAAATCTCAACATAAGAACAGATGCAGTGAATTTGACAGACAGGAAAGGTAGAAATAGTTTAAAAATATTTTCTCAGGAATTTTTTTTAAAAGACCTTCAGAACAGAACACTGATTATCAATCACTAAGAAAATAACAGATAACTAGGACCCCATGAATCTTCTGCAGGATAAAAGACACCATCTTTCAGAAAAATTAGACAGCTACAGAATGAAAAAATATTTTAATCAACTACCCATCCTGTACAGGGCTTTTCTTAGGATTTCTATAGGGGTAAAAAAAAAAAAACATGAACCAAAAGCAAGTTGCAGAAAAAGGGGTTTATTCAGCTTACACTTGCACAGTACTGTTCATTAACATCAACAACTACAAATGTCAGGACAGAAACACAGAGAAAGGAGGATCCTAAAAGGAGTAGGTGATGCAGAGGACCCAAAGGGTGTTGCGTACTGTCTTGCATTCCCAGAATGTTTTCTTACAAAACCCAAGACCACTAGCCCAGGAATCATACCACCCAAAATGGGGTGGCCACTTCACCGCTGATCACTAATTGAGAAAATGTCTTACTGATGGTTCTCATAGAGGCATTTCCTCAACTGAGGTTCCTTCCTCTCTGATGACTCAAGCATGTATCAAGTTGACAGAAAGCCAGCCAGTACTGGACTGATACCTAAAATATATAAAGAACTCAAAAACCTTAATATCAATGAAACCAATAACACTATTTAAATGTGAGGAACAGATCTAAACAAATCATTTCCAAAAAAGGAAACTCAACTGGCAGAGACATATTTAAAGAAAAGTTCAACATCCCTAGTCATCAGTGTAATGCAAGTTAAAGGGACTTTGTTATTTAACCTTATACCAGACAGAATGGCCAAGATCAGTGAGGCAATTTATACTTAATGCTGGCAAGGATGTGGAATAAGAAGAATACTCATGCATTACTCTTGTGAGCACAAACATGTACATTCACAGTGGGAATCAATATTGTGTTTCCTTAGGAAGTTGAAAAGATCTACTTCAAGAAGCAGCTATACCAGTATTAAACATATACTCAAAGGACACTTCATCCCACTACAGACAAACTGAATATTCATAATGTCTAGAAACTAGAAACAACCTAGAGGTCCATCAACAGATGAATGAACAAAAAATGTGATAGTTTTACATATAAAATTCATAGACCACATGAAGCTCGAGAATAAGGAAGACCAAAGTGTGGCTATTTCATGGGGAATAAAATGCTCACAGGAAAAAATATGGAGACAAAGTATGGAGCAGAGATTGAAGGAAAAGCCATCCAGAGACTGCCCCAATTGGGGTTCCATTCCATGTAGTCATCAAATGCAAACACTATTGCAGATGCCAATAAGTGCATACTGACAGAGCCTGATATAGCTGTCTTGTGAGAGGCTCTGCCAGAGCCTGACAAATACAGAGGCAGATGCTCACAGCAAACTATTGGAGTGAGCACAGGATCCCCAATGGAGGAGTTAGACAAAGGACTGAAGGAGCTGAAGGAGCAGAAGAATCTTGCAACCCCATAGGAAGAACAACAATATTCACCAACCAGATTCTGTAGAGCTCCCAGGGACTTAACCACCAACCAAGGAGTACATATGACGGAATACATGGCTCCAGCCAAATGTGTAACAGAGGATGGCCTTGTTTGACATCAATGGGAGAAGAGGACTTTGGTTTCAAGGCTCGATGCCCAGTAAAGGGGAATGCCATGTGGGGAGGTGGGGGTGGGTTGGGGGAGCACTCTCATAGAAGCAGGAGGAGAATATGGGATAGGGGAATTCCAGGGGTGTGGGGGGATAACACAGAAAAGAAAAATAACTAATAAAAAAAAGGAAAAAGAAAAAGAACATAGCTGAGCCATAATCAGAATTTATTACAGTGTTGAAATGATGGATGATGGTGGTAAACTCTTATGATCCAGAGCTAGAGAGGTACAGACAGGATAATCCCTGAGGCTTCTATCTTGGTCCAGGTCACAAAAAAAGATGCCCATCAAGACATCATATTAGTGACATATGAAGAACAACAGTTAACATTATCTCCTGGCCTCTATGTATAAACACACCTCGTTCAGCCGAGCACACACACACATATATAAATGCATATAGATACACAAAAAACACATTGTACAACATGTATGTGAAAACCAAATTTTTTCCATTAATATTTCAATTAGTAGATAAAATGAAGTACAAATAAACAGGCACATGACAGTTTCATAACAGATCCCTTAAGAAAATGGGGTAAAAATGGAAACATGAAATTCATATTATTTTTATGGATCCACATAATTTATATGCACTTTACATATAAATTACTAATAAACAAACAAATAAAAAGCTACAACAAAAAATTTAAAATATTTTTAATGAGTGAACAAAAATTAAAAGCAAAAGAAAGATTCAAAGTGAGTATCAGTGAGGATATTCCTTTGAGTAATCTAAGCATCGAAACAATATTTACTATATAGGGTAAAAAAATAGAGAGACTTCATATAGAATTATCAACTTATTGTGTACAATTAACTTAAGAATTCTCTACTATTTGAAAACAGAAGTGTCATAAGAATGTATATGTGTTATTAGCACAAATTTTATTTAAATCATATGAAGAATCTTGCTTTGCTACCTGTACCATTAAAGTTTAAAAACAATCTGTATTTCAAAACAAAATAATTGGTGCTACACAGGAAGCATCTTTGTATCTAGTGGTCACTCCAACTCCAGGGGATGACATGACATCTTCGCATTCTATGGATGCCAGAAATGCACTCTGACACAGCCCTTGTACATATAAACATAAAAAATAAATACCTTTTTAAAGAAGAGAGACAATATCTCTTTAAAAACATATATGGTGGCATTTTGACTGCAAGTTTTTCATCATAATGATTATTCTGTTATCAAAACTGATTTGTAACAATGGAGTAACTGTGGGATACACACTCATCACAAACTTCTGAACAGTCAGGACGACTGGATCATACCTCCATAACAGGAATGAGGTCGTTGAGATAATGAGGTCTACCCAATACATGACCACAAAGAAAACCACCAGCAGCAAGATTGTCAGGGTTGCCCTTTTCTCTGGAGATGCTCTCAGCTGGCTGTTGCTATGAAGATGCTTGCATTGCCTCTGATGTCTTAACAAGATAATAACCATGTATGTGCTTGCAGTAACCATGACTCCTACAAGAAACACATCTCTGGATGTTGCCACTGTTAAAATCACTCCTCTTGTCATGTAATTCATGGCTAAGTGTGAACAATATTTACTGACCTTCATCTGACTGGTGTCACTCACATTGGTATAAGCTCCAACATAGAAGATCCAGTTACTACTTAAGGATATATTGAAAGACCAAATACAGAAGAAAGCATAAATCATGTATTTTTTAAGTTTTTGTTTAAATTTTGCCAAAAGTGAGGTACTGGGACTGATAGTGACAGACTGAACTACACTCAGGAGACAGGTGGTGCAGATAGAGAGGCCTCTCATCACCCTGCTTATGTAAAAAGTTGCCTTACATTTGAAGTCATTCTCAATGTTCAATGATGCAAACAAATCTGTAAGCCAAATATCCCCTGCAGTGAGGACCATCATTATGTGAATGAAGGTCAGTTGACAGGAGATCAGGTCCGTGAGCTTAGGTCTATGACCTAAAACTAAGAAAATATAGAAACAAAGAAGAAACATGTTGGCTAGGACTCCAAGTCCAGCTGGGAAATAAAGGACATTCTTGAGTGAGAACATAAGTGGAGAGTGTATTCATATTAAGAGATTAGGGGAAGCTTATTTCATATAACTGAAAAAATAATAAGGCACACATCAAGTATATGATACACTGACTATATTATCATTCTCTTTCGATACTAATTCTTAAATAACCTATTTAATTTTGATATTCCAGACTGTACATCATAGTCTACATTTCTATGTCTTCCATGTATCTTCTCTATATAGAGAAAATTATAGAGAATAAATAAATCCATAGTCATATCTGTACAGAATGCTCACTTTGTGGGCCTGAATTACACCCCAGTCTCATTTCTTAGAAATTCAATCCTATTGACTGAATTGCCTCATTTATTGTTAACACCTAAAACAATAGTGATAAGCACAGAATGTTAATCATATCAAGAACATAAATCAGTCATATTAATCTCAAAAATATTCAAAAGAAAAATTGAAAATATTAAGTTAGTCATTCTCATATTTTAAAATTTTACAGTGCTCTATTTTACAACTATTCATGCTTTGATTCATAATTCTAATGCAATCACAATAATAATTCATGATAATCACAATGGGTTAATCAGCCAAATGTCTTTCTCAATCTGTATTAATGTTCCATTTTTTAAGAAATATTACATCCCCAGAATCTGAATTGAAGAGACAGATTCAATTGGAGACCATTAGTTAACTTTTCCCACCCTATGACCATGAACTGTGGTTCCAAATGCTCCAAGGCCTCTCCAACTTTAGTTCCCATCCCATTACCTTTTGTGAAACTTCAGGTTTAAAAAACTAACACCCAACTAACAAGACAAAGAGCATTTTTCATTCCTTTTAGGTGGGGCAGTGTCATTAATTAATAGGACAAGTAGTTATGGCTTTTAAGAAATCCATGTGGATATTTGACTTACCTACCTCTTTATTCTGTATTCATCCCCTTCCACAATCTAAGAAGCTGCAACTTTCATATTTCACTGTAGAGATCATTTGTACCCTGCTATTCTGCTCTGTATTGCTTCCCTCCCACCCTTATATGGTCAATGATCTTCTTTTACTCTCCTGGTTTCTGTAGTTATTATAGACTACCTACATCTCCCCAATAAGAGAGAACATGTGACATGAAGACAAACAATATTATTGACACTGTATGACAAACTTGAACTCACTGACAATGACCAGATAGTGATCCTGTTTGGATGTTTCCATTTCACAACAGATTCCCTCTCATATAGTGGAAACCAAAGTTCCCAGTGTTACCATGTGTTTTCAGAGTTTCACACAACTGTCTTACATTTAGGGCCTACATTAATAATTTGACCTGGTGACTAAGATGAATTTATTATTGAATAATATTCACAATTTAAATCAGCTTGTGACAGAGAAATAAAAAATGACTACACTGAATAAGAATCTTGTAAGAAAAAGAGTATTCAATTATATTTTCAAGTTCATGCATATATTCCACATATATAGACACATGCATGTATGTATGAAAATAATTGAGAAGTTAGTGCCTGAGATCATTGTATGACTTTTCTATGAATATGACACAATAAGTCACACTTTTAATACTTACGTTATTTTGTTCTTATAAAATCTTAATCTAGTAAAGGAATGGGTTCCACCAATTACAAGAGGAAACATTGAATTCTCTCTCCAACAGAAATTTACAGTACCTGCACACTGGTGTTCTATTTATAAAAGCTACAGGACATGGAGTGGAGACGTGCCTCAGTGGTCAAGACCACATTATAATTTTGGAAAGACCTGGTTTGGTTCTCAGCAATGACATGTGACCATCTGTAACTCATGTTGAACGGGATACAAACTCTCTGACCAGGCACACAGGAGGTGCACAGATATTATATGTGGGCAAAATATACATAGTATAAAATAAGTAAATAAGGCTCAAGGAGATACTTAATTTAAGCCTTCATCTACAAACTGTAAAAACGATAGCCCAATTCTACTTTTCAAGCTACAGTTGAACAAACCATACACATGTAAATATTTATTATTAATTATACTTCAACAATTTATTAATATTCACAAATATTATAATTAATTTAAAAGATGATAATATAATAAGGTAAAAGATAGTAATGTAAAATGGTTTTTTCTTTCTTATTGGATATTTTCTTTATTTACATTTCAAATGTTATACCCTAACCAGTTCCCCCCCAACTGGAAAACTCCTATCTCATTGCTCCTCCCCATGCTTCTATGAGGGTGTTCTCACACAAACTCAGACCTCCTCACCCTAGCATTCTCCTTTCTTATACCAAATATATGCCCTATAACCTCTCTACTTCATACTACTGCTTTGTAAATGTTTATTACATACAGAAAGTGACAAATCTAAATCATAAACTAGCATCGTTCTTTGGAACTCACTAGAGCTGAGGGTTCGTGTAAAAAGAACATAGCTATCATAGGTAACAACACATTTGTTAACATGAACATACACTGAGAAAAATCAAGTTTTATTTAAAAAGAAAATTGCACTTTTGGTGGCTTCCGTGTAGGAATATTTATGTATGCATACTAAAACCCATAGTAAATCCATAAACTTTTATAATAGTGGAGAAACATGCACTATTGATTGACCCAGACCAAAGCCTAAGCACTTTGAAGTCATGTGTCTGAAAAAGCATGTAACAAGGGGAGAGAGACAGACAGAGAGGCATAGAAACAGACAGAGACAGAGAAACAGAGAGATAGACAGAGACAGAGAGAGAAATATCTTCATGCACAGCTCTACATTCTCTGTGTACTGTCACTTCACCTCTTCCTTTTCACAATATTTGATTTTAGAACAGTTTGATTTATGCAAATATAGTGATCTTTGTATTATGTTTGTGAAGAGTTAATAATATAGGGAACATACAAGTTCATTAAATCGAGAGTATCATTTTCATTTTAAGCTTCACCACACTTGGTGAGTAATGACCTAAAAGCTATATGACGAGTGAGAGAGAAGATACAGTGAGTATGTCTTTCAGGTGACAAACGAAATTGTGGGTGGATGTACTTCCCACTATCAGTAACATGACAGTTCTATGAATCTCTGAAAGAGGAAGTAATTGGCCACTGAAATTAGTTCTATCAAACCTTTATAAAATACAGAATACCAGTACAAACACATATGACTTTTTAAATAAAGAAATAACACATAGCTCTTACCTGATGCCCTTAAATTATTTGAATGCATGAAAACTTATTTGGAAATTAAATTTATCACAGTTGTAACTGGAAGCACACAGAGGCTGAGTAGAATATTATAATCTCACAATTATAAGCCTGATAGCTTGAGATGAATTATCAGAAGCAGAAGTATCACTGCAGAGACTGTGAAGAAGAAGTCATGCCCAGAGCTTCATCAGAAGTTGTATGGTGTACAGAAACTCAACCTGTACCTAAGACTATCTTCAGTCAAACCTATGATGCTCCTGTCTTAGTCTTGTCAGTGCTGGGATCATAGCATGTACCACCACACCTGTCTTCATCATACCCAGAGCTTCATCCCAAGTTGCATGGTGTAAGTTTGGGAAAGATGTGATAAGGTTCACTGTAAAACTGTGTGCATGTCTATGTATGTGTATATGTTTGAGTGTGTATATGTATGTAGTGTGCACAAGACTGAAGAAGAAAGAGAAGAGGAATGAGATAAATAGATGATAGATAGATAGATAGATAGATAGATAGATAGATAGATAGACACACAGACACAGAGAGAGAAAGATTAATGGACTAACAGGTCTAAAAATAGATCACAGGTATAGTGTGTTCTCGTGCTGCTACTGTGCATGCAACACAACATTTACAACACTCGAATGAATGGCTGAGAGTCATATCAAATATATTCATGAAATAAAATAAGCATCAAGGAAAATCGAAGTATGGGTGACCTGGTCAGATTCACAATCGTCCTGCTTAGTACACCAGCACAGGCTTTTAAACTAAATTATTCAAAACAAACAAAAAATTCTGTAATTCTTGTAAATATAAACTTACGTTTTTGACAACTGGTTTTTATGATGTTGATACTTTGGACCAGAAAATTAATGATTATTTTGTTCCATTTCATTAAGAATAATTTTATAATTCTACAGTCTCAGTATTCCAATTTAATTTTCTTGAATTTGTGCTTCTGTGTATGAAAGGAAGACAGAGACAGACAGGCAGACAGACAGACAGACAGACAGACAGACAGACAGATACAGGGACTCAATCTGTACCTAAGACTGTCTTCAATCAAACCTATGATGCTCCTGTCTTAGTCTCGACAGTGCTAGGATTATAGCGTGAGCCACTACACCTGCCTTCATTCTCCATTTTAAAATCATATATATTTATATATTTTCTAAATACGTGTGTATGTATGTATATGTATACATGTATATATGTATGTATATAAATATGTAATTGAGATTACAGGAAAAATAGATTTGTGATATTCATCCTCTAAACTTAAATTACTTTGCATTGTGTGCATTGGGGGTGTGTATGGGTGTAAGCAGACTTTAGGAAACAACTATTGAGAAACTATTTGAGAAAATCTTAGAATTTTTGACTTTAAATAATTTTATACTATTCAAGAATTGTGAATATATTTATCAGTGCTAGTGATAAGCTTACTCAATATTATTCAGTTTCAATGATACAAGGTTCAATTTAGAACACCTAAAATAAGAAAAAGGAATTCATTTTAATAAAATGACTAAAGCTTCTACTGAAAACTACACTTACATAAGGATAACTTTACCAGTGTTTAATAAAGGAAGTGAGATTTCCAAATATTTGTGAAGTGTCAATGAAATATCTACTTTATGAGAAATCATTGCAACATATTAAGCAAATCTATATAAATTTTTAAAATTATATGAGGCTAAGAGAGTTTTATACTTTACAATGTCAATTATTGAAACGTTCCTAAGAATTCATCATCATATGTGAATTTAACAAACTAGAAACTTACTTATAAAAATATCAGTTAATATCAGTTGTGTATTTATACCTTGAGTTTC